CATGATGATATAACCCAGAAACCAATCTAGCTATGGAAGTATCCAAAGTAAAGAAGCCTACAAGATTGTAAACAGGGAACCAGAGACATCAACTGACAAACAAGGACAACTACAAACCAAAAAGAGGGAAGAAAACTATGAATCACAGGGTAGCCTCAAAGAAAAATGATAAACCTTCACATCAAAAAAGAGGACCAGCATAAATATTCAGCAAATACTAAAAGAATAGCAATGAAAGAAATGATAACACGATTCATAAACAAAACGAGCTCAGCATAGATATTTATATGGAACAAAGAAATCAACACCACGATAAAGCACATAACAAAAATGACAGTAACAAATTCATATTTGCCAGTAATTACATATGTGGCAAGGGACTTATCTCTAAGATTTATAGCGGAAGAGTGGATGACCAAATTATGGTACATACACATAAAGGAATGCTATGCAGCACTAAAGAATAATGTAGAGTCTGCAAAACACCACATAATACAGATGAACCTGGAAGACATTATGCTGTGTGAAATAAGTCAATCACAGAAGGACAAATATGGTATTAGTTCGTTGTTGTGGAGGGTCAGGGAAAGGTTTATATATGGAAGGAAACTTTGTTGGTTGCCAGGGATGAGAGGGGAGGGGTGCGAACACTGCAAAAAAAAAAAAAAAAAAAAAAAAGCATTGACCCATGTCACTTTAATTTCATGTATTTCACTGTACATAAATTATATTTCAATAAAATGCATTAAAAAAAAAAAAGAATACTTCCTACCGAATAGTTCCTCGAAAAGAATTCTTCAGCGGTGTGGACCCCACATAAAGGATGTGTACTTTGGCAAAGCGTGAATTAATGCTAGAGACCTGAATAAATACAGAGAAAGGATCAGCATCAGAGAATTAGCAGTCATCAGTCCACGAGGGCAAGCAATAAACTAGGAATTACAAGAGTTTCAGTTCAAGCAACTTTACTCATTGTATAACTTAAAGAAGTTAACTTCTATTTATCTCTGCACAAGTGCTATCTGGAAAGGGGAGTAAGAACCATTCTGGCCATCTGATAGTGTTACTATGGGAATCAAATGAGATAATGTGGTATTAAAAAAAAAAAATTCAAACTCACTGCCTTTGAGTCGTATCTGACTCATAGTGACCCCTCCTGGGGTTTCTGAGGTGGTATCTCTACAGAAGAAGATTGCCCAATCTTCCTTTTGAGGAGTGGCTGGTGGGTTTGAACCACCAGCCTTCTGGTTAGCAATCAAATGTCTTAGGCACTACTCCATCAGACTTTGAAAAACAGAGCAATTTAACATAAATAGATGTAGGGCGTTATAGCAAATCCAGACACCTTTAATGGGTCTTACTGAGGATAGAGACGGGCAGGGAGTACTGTACGTCACAGCATTCATTCGTACGTCTCCTGTAACGTCCTAGAAGACTTTAAATTGACTAGGAATGCTAGAGAATAGACTAGTCTTCAGCCTTTCTTCAGAAAAAGGTCTCAGCTTCAGATGTTCAGAAATGGACCTCATCCCCCTTTGGTGGCCCCATTTCTCACACGCAGGCAGGAACTACATACTCAGGGAACAGCTCAGAGAAAGAAATGCATGTGCCTGAAGTTGACCACAATGATCACTGTCCTAGAAATCTCTAGAACAGCACAGTTCAATCAAACTTTCTG